GGAGAAGACATCAATACACTCCTGCACTTGGGAGAAGACATCAATGTTTTCGTCGTGTCACTTGTTATCTTCTTCAGTCATAATTTTTAAAAATTATGAGGATACTTTACAAAGTCTACCACTTAATGTACGTGACCAAACTCTCATGCATGTGTAGGAATAGAATAAAAAAACAAAATAAACAAAGTTAGATACAAGAAAAGTAAAAAAGAGAAAATAAAATAAAAACTATAATTTGTGCATGATTTTACCTTCCTGGCAACAGCGCTAAAAACTTGACACGATCAAAAGATTGATATCTTCTCCCAAGTGCAAGAGTGTCGAAGTAATAAATAATTCAATAAGACCGGGATCGAACCACAGAGAGGTTAATTGTATAGATTATAAATAACGACAATACAACAACAACAACAACAATAATAATAATAATAATAATAACAGAAGAAAAAGAAGAAGAAGAATTTGATGAGAATTTTGAGATGGAAGATCAATGTGAGGATTAAATAATGATAACAACAAATGTTAAGGTTACAAAATCCACTAATGGTATTTGAAACAAGTATACTATAAACTCTTATTATTCAACTGGACATCACACACAAAGGAGGTTCTAATTGGATTATAAATTGTTAACATGATTACATTAGTTATCTTATTCGATTAATGCTAATACTTGTAATTATTGTCAAGCATTCATGATTATAACTTATGTTCATTTATGATTATAACTTATGTTAACAACAAATCAAGTTCCTTTCATAGCACAAGTGTAGGTTATACCATACAGTTTGTGCTATGAAAGTGCTAAGTATTTATTGTACCAAGTATTATACAATATAAATCTAGATTAACCATTTAACAAGCAAAATATTAAAAGTAAACAAGATAACAAATACAAAACATGTTAGTATTAAACATTAAGGTCCATATTAAGTTTACACTATACTTATTCTTATACTATTAGTGTAACCTTTTCACCTTGACATAATAAACTTAGCTAAACATAATGAAATAGGAAAACATAAATAAAATAAAAGTTAACTAAGTAAAGGAAAGGCAATGAAAGGCATAAACAAGATATTAATGAAAGTAAAACTTAAGCATTACAAAAATACAAAGAGAAAAAGCAAGAGCATGATCTTGATCTGGAAACCAAGATGCCTAAATGCATGGAAAATGCCTCCTTTTTATAGGCCAAAAATGAGAACTATTAACTTGATGACTAATTGATGAGTGGGTAGCCAACTCTTGCCTTGATGATAATCCTTATCTTCTCTTGTCTACTCAAAACATCATTGATAACGTTAGAATTTGAACTAGACCTCCACATAAAAGTTATAGGAAATTATCTCAACTTTTTAGAAAAAAACAATTGAGGTCATTTGGACTTCTAGAACACTAGATATGGGCTAAACACTGAACAGTTGTAGGACAGATTTAGACTTTTTTGTTGTTGCTATAATTTGGACTTACAAAAAGCCTTTTTAAAACCAGACCTCCACATGAAAGTTGTAGGCCTATATCTTACTTTTTCATTCATATAAAGTAGACCTTAATCTAAGATCTACAACTCCAGATATGACCTAATTACTAAATAGTATTCCAGTTTGGACTGCACCGCATCTCTTTTCTAAGTTTGGCCATCTCCTTATCCTTTTAATTTCAGTTCTTAAACTCATCAATCAATCTTTTCATTTATGTGATAGACCTTCATTTAAAATGAACATTTACCATAAATTAAAGGTATCTTGTATTATTAGATATGTTAGTATAAAACATGTTTTAGTTAAGGAGTTATTGATACTTCAAGTGCAAAATAATGATATAAGACTTTGATAAAAATATACTTTTAAGTACTAATTAGCTAACATATTAGAAACCTAATGAGTCACACACACATTAAGAATCATTAGTAAAAAATTAAACGAGGATAATCAATCAGTATGACTTGATTGAAAATAATTTTAGAAATTAAACACTACAATATATTTAATTTAGGAATTACTGTTATAGTTTCTAGAATAATCTAGGGATTTAATTGATTAAATTTTTAAAATTATCCTTAAATAATATATGAATATTATTTAAGGAAAAAATTGATATTTTGTTAATTTATAGGATTTTTTAAATTTCTCTATAAATAGTAAGTTATTCCTTCTATTTTTTTAGAGTGGTTGTTTATTAAACATAAAAACTACATAGGTCATGGAATAGAGAGCTAGCACTCTAGACATAACAATCTATCTCTTTTAAATAAAAATTTAGAAGATTTATTATTGATGGTTTGTATCGATTATCGTTAGAGACTGAACAATTAAATGACTTGTGATTTGCCACAACTCAGCTTTTAAGAAATTATTCAAAGTAAAAAAAAAAAATAGATGTCAAATAATAAACCCTTAAACAACTTTGAATCTTTCTAATAAAATTTCAAGAGCTCCAAAATAACTTTATTTAATTATTTTCTTCACATATATCATATTTAGAAACCAACAAACATGATGTTACGATCCCTTAGAGCCCAGCAGAAGCTTCACTTCCGTGCTGCCATAATTGCATGCTTCCAAGTATCTCCCGCAAATTTTTACATTAAAAAAAAAAATGAAGGTCGAGATATTATATTAAACTTGAGTGTGATTTCTCACAAATATAATGTTGAGCTGCAACATATTGTTCCACTGCAACATCATGAAAATAACAGTGCATTCACATTTTCTTGCATTGTCAAAGTCACAAGGGAGGCGCGCATAATGGAGGAACAGAGCACATCAAAAATTAATTAATTAGTTAGCACGCAAAATCCGTTGAAGCCTGCTCACCCCACTCCAATAAATTATATAACCTTTTCTGTCAATTCCTACTGCCAACCAAACTTGGAGGCCAATAATAACATATAAGGCCATCGTACACGTGCCGCGCAATAGAGCATTCGGGCCACAGAGAGATGGTTGAGATGCTGACCGCATTTTGAGGGCTGTCAAATTAGACAGGTTGTTGGCAGCTAAAAAGAACCATCTACTAATTAAATATAACATTCAATTCATCTCCAGTCACTTATCCAATGAGCTTACAGCTTTCATTTATCCAAGAAATTGAAAAAAATATTATATATATATATATATAAATACATACACCTTAATTAAAGTGTATCCGCGACTCCAACAGGTATGATTCTACACAAGTAAAGTGACACGTGGCAAGGAGACTGACGCCATTCCAGCCACAAGCTTTCTCAATGTTTAAGCACCACTCTCATCAGCTAGCATCTGACCACCCATCATGCCAAAATTGTTGGCATGTTTCGGCCTCCACTCAGTCCTTCCCCTTACGATCTCAGCACCATCCTCATGTCGCAGCAAATGTTGACACTCAACCTTACCAGGACCGCCCAAATTTCCAATGCCAGCGCCAGATACAGCAGTCAAGGACTGCAGCACGCTGTCCCTGCCACACTCCCTCCTGTACTCCAAAGTAATGGCAGCAAGCTCATGACTCTCCAGGATTGGGGGAGGAGCGCTCTGCAACAAACCACCACCATAACGTTAGGTGAACTTCAAAAAAGAAGGGTACAAAGCTTGGGGAGAGAAGCGGTTGAATCAGTTTCATAGCACATTTGACTTTTCTCCTCTCTTGACATAAACTGGATTGCGATCGATGTTCCAGGAGGAGAAAATTCAAAGCTGCCAGACCACTTGTTTTTTCTATGCCAGCAAGGACGGAATTCGACATTAAAAATTAGCACCCCCATGTGCATTGAAAAACATTCAAAATTACTACCACCAGGTAGGTCTCCTTTCGGTGGTATAAGCCAAGATAGACATTAAAGCTGACAGGTTATCAAGAACGAACAGGGTTGCGGTAAGGCATGCATTATAAAACCAAAACAATCATTAAAATCGGACTAAATTAGTGTTTTACAGTCTGGCTGTCAGTTAGAGCTGGCTGCTGGGCCGATCACACAGATTGTCCGCAGGTTGGTTTGCAGCAAGCAAACTTCATTCTATTTTTAATATTTGATTTAGCACCGTCAATAAGCTCTATATTGAGTTGTCATATATATGCATGAACATGTTCATGAGATCAAAGCAAGCAAATTGCCATGCAAACATTAGAGGTCAACAAAAATGTCAACCAATGTACGCTCGTAAAACTTTATTTGTTGAATTAAAACCATAAGGGCCAAATTTTGACTGAATACCAAGCACAATTAGCCTTCCGGGAAGGATCTCTCACTTTCTGTCCAACCATTTTAATGAATTGTGCGATTGCAAATTAAAGAAACCAAAACAAAATAAAATATTAAATGAAACGTGAGCAAGAATAAAACAGGCAATGATTAAAAGTTCAAACTGGAATATTTTAGGATGAAGAATATACCTCAAGGATCCAGCCTATGTACTTCACATTGTTAACATGCTGGTTGACATCTAAATCATTCCATCTAGGCTGTGAATCACAGAAGACGTATAACAACGATCACAACAGGCGAGTGGATTATTGTAGGTAATAAAACCTTCAGTGAAACTAAGTACACAAGTTTTGGCAGATCTACTTACAGTTAGGCCTTTGCGGATATAGTCCGCTGTCTTGTCGTCAAGTTTTGGCAGTTTTGTGCTGTCCTCATTCACAACAGGATCAGAATTCAGAAAATAAGGCTCTATTTCACCTCGAACATCTTCAGGAATTTTAGATAACCTCCTTGTCACTTTATTCATCATCACCCACAAACTGAAAATTTTCAAAAACCAGAAGTTTAAAATCGATTAATAAGCAGAATGAGGAAGCAATTAAAAAGCACAACAAAAGAATGGATCACTTCCAAAGAGTTTTCTACCTGGAGGCTCTTGTAAGAGTTTCACCAGTTTTAGCATCACGGACAAGCCAATCACGGCGCATACCATTCTTTCCTGACGCACTCACCCAAGTATCCACATTGACAACATCACCCCTGCAAGACAAAATAAGCCCTCTATTAGGTATAGCATCAACCCAACAACTGGTGCCAAGAGGTCAGGTGCCAGCTAATCAACTGGAACAAAATAAGCCTACAGATTTTCATATGGCGTATGGAAACAACTTAGCATTACAAAGAATGCTAACAACAATATAGTTTAAACTGTATAAAAACAATGCATAAGGTCGCAGATTCTTGCATTAGATAGAAATAATGCAGATTGGATTATGTCTCACCATGTAGGATAACGATCGACTAGAATCTGCATTCGAGTTACCACCCATATCAGGTTCCTTTTGGACATCTCTGGGGTTGCACCAAATCCATCTCCAAGAAGCCCAGCAGTCTTAACATGATTAAGTGCTGTTTCCTGCAGCCAAAGAAAAAAAATAGAAACTATTCAAACTAGTGGAGAAAATATAAACACCTCCCAAAATAACTTTGAAGTTTTTTTTTTTTTCTGTATCTCCAAGAATAAGAGAAAATTTGAATACATAATCATACTTGTAAATGGTTCATCAACGTCTCTATAGACGCAGTACGATCTGCACCAATTTCATATGACCTAATTGAGAAATTCTGGCTGAAGACAAGACCATCTTGGACAATTCTTCCAATACCAAAGGGATCAATAAGCATGTCAGCTCGCTTTGGTTTCCAATCAAGCATCATCCACTGCTTCTCTGCTGCCAAAAACATGGTTGTAATTGCAGCAAGAAGCATGCTCCAATCAGGTAATTGGTTGATAAATGTCCGGGGTGCCGGTGATGAGACAACATCCTCCTTTGCAGTGTCCACTGATGCTGTCAAGCCAACTGGAGAGCCATTTATCTTCGGAGGAGCTTGGGCATTTGCCTTAACCTGCAAAGCTCCAGAGGAAGCAGATTTCGATTTGATTCCTCCCAAACTTGCAGAACCACTACCACCCTTGGAGAACTTGGCATCTCCAGGTGGTGAAGGAACTGGGAAAAATGATGAAGCAGCTGCTGTGGCAACCATGGCGTGATTGTAGAACCAACAAATCAGCTAGAGCCTGAAGATTCGATTGAATCCAAATTTAAAAAAAAAAATTACAAGCAATCTTCTTAGAAAACACCTTCCTGCAACAATCATAACAACACGTTGATTGTAAGAATGAAAATTACAAGGTACAGATGATAGCCCAAATAAGTAAAAGAAAAGAACAGCAAGTCCCACTTTCATGAATAAGCAAGCATGATAAATTTCTATCTCTATTTGTAAGTAGGCTTCCCGGCCTTCAGTTCTTCTTTTTTCCTTTCTAAAATTTGAAAAGTCAGAAAATATTTCCTTTTTCTTTCCCAATAGAATTAGAAGAAAAGAGACCCAACAGAGCCTTAAAATCTATACGATTTTCTTCATCTCAAGAATGAAATTTACCAGATTCCAAAACGGGAATTAATTTTCCGATCACAAAAAGAAAAGGAGCGGAAAATTTACCAGAATCCAAATGGAGATTTAAAAGAAAAATTCCGGTTTAAAACGTATTTACATCTAACGTAATAATGATGGAAAGAAAAAAAATACAGAGCAGATCTGACCATAAAATGACAAATAATAGTTACGACATCAACAATAACAACAAGACGCTTTTACATTCTACAGAAAAACACAAACAACGTGGGAGACAGATAGACGGCGTTTGGTCGCTGAGAAAATGCAATAAATTGTTTAAAGTCTAAAATCAGATCTCCCCGTTACATTTCAAAAACCTCATTATCCTCTCATTGCATAAGCATCTCAGAGACCAAACAAAAAAATATATACCAGTTACCAGATCAACAATAAAATAAGGGATAATGAAGGAAAATCTCCACATCCGTACGTACCTCAGAGGAGAGGAATAGGGAGAGGGAGAGGGAGAGGGGCAGAGCAGCTCAACAAAAAAAAGAAATTTTGTTAGAGAGGATAAAAAGAGAAGGGCTATAGCGCCATTTAGGATCAAAAAACCCCTTGACTTTCTCTCTTTCCCGTATCTTCTAGGGCTTTCGATGACCTTTCTTAGGTTTCTTTTTCTGCTCTGGGTTTTTTCAAGCTTCGTTGTGGTTTCCGCAAAGCCAAAATGTAAAAATAAAAAGAATAAGAGCAGCTAGCGAAAATAAGTAAGCTTGGAGCGAGAGAGGATTTAGGGCTAGCGGCTTAGTGGATGGCAGGGGGTGCTGGCTTTATAGATAGATGTCCACCTGGCCCCTGCCGCCCCTCCTTCAAAATTCCCATTTCCCCATTGCTTCTGCGATCTTATTTACCTTTTTGCCACCGTATCCTTATCCTCCTATCATTTACTATATTTTAATGGGTTAACCACCCGTTAAAGGTATACTCAATTTTTTCATTGAATTTATGCTTTAAGAAATGATATTTTATATCCCATTAATAAATTCATAACATTTCCAATATTTTTTCTAATATTAAAAAATATTAAAAAAAAAATATCAAATTATTTACAAGCACATCTAAATAATAAAATTATCATTAAAAAAACTCTTTTTTATACAAAAACTAAAATCTCAATCATTAATATCTAGGGGTGTTTAAAAAAATCGATAAACCAAATAAACCGATAAAACTAAAAAAAAATTAATGGAAAAATCAAACTAAAAAAAAAATTAATTAGAATATTTAGAAAAAATCCTAATTCAGTTTGGTTTTTAGTTTTATAATGTAAAAACCAGTTAACTTAAACCAAACCGAACCAGTTAAAAAAAAATTCCTAACCACCACTAGTATAAATAGAAACTTTTGCCCCCCACTCACCTAACCCTAATAGACTACCAGAGCCATCCTACCTCCTCTCCCTCTCCGCTAACCCTAATCAGAGCATCCGCTCCAATACTAAAGACCCTCCTTTTCGCCTCTTCAAAATATTTTAGCCTATCAGACAAGTTCTTGTGAGAACTCGGACAAGTTTTTTCATTCAGTATGAGTACATCACAGAAGCATCAATGAGTAGGCATCAATTTCCTCTCCTCGTCTTTTGTTTTTGGGTGATGGGTTTTTGTTGATAAGGTGATAGAAATAATGTTACTAATAAAACAATTCTAGATTATATTGCAAAGGTGAGTTGTGAGTTTTTGATTGATATTATCCTTTTACTTTTCTTCTCCTTTTTCTCCTTCTTTATTTTGTTAAGGTGTAAACATATTTGTTTAGGGATGATTGCTTTTGTGATTGATTTTTTGGCTCATGGATTTATGAATTCTTTTGTAGGAATATTATATCAAGCATAT